ACTCAAGGCCAAATCCATCGGTCAAATCCATTTTAACATTTGGCGGGTGGTAAGAGGTGAAAATGTATATACGTCTTTACGTCAATGATAGCTTTGTCTCATTTTTTCGTTGAATGTTGTGCCTTGGTATACAACGGGTATAAAAAGATTGTCTCAGTGTCACATATTTCGGGCGTAAATTTCATGGCCAGTGGAGAAGTAGGGTGAAGTAAGTTTACTTGTTCCGTGAATTTGAAGAAATCTACCATGTCTGGTTTACTTATGTCCCACAGGAAAAAATATCATCTATGCAGCATTTTCAAACAGTTGGTTTAAAAGACGGTTTTGCTTAAACTTTGTGTTTCAATATATGCGGCCATGAAAATGTTGGAAAGGAAACTGCTTATGTGCTCATCGCGGTACTGTGGTTTCTTACTGATAGTGCTTTCCATTAAACTGGAAAGAATTTTCTTTCAGGATTAATCTAAACATTTCTCGGACCGAATCAAGAAATGTTCAGTTTTTTCAGCTTTGTCTTTTCAATAAAATATATAAAGTCGGTAGCATCTTTAAGGACTGTGGCTTCTGTGATTATGATATTGGTTGTAGTAATGTAGCCGTATCAACAAAAGGGTAAGTTCTTTCTGTTAGACCATCTGATGAGTCATAAATTTAAAGAGGTTACTTCCTAACGGCTGGAAAAAAATGCAAAAATGCTCTTTTTTTCTGAAACAAATATTGATAATGTCAGCCCATGTCGGTAGTCGGTTAATATTTTTCCTGTCGGTAGTCGGTAATTTTTACTCGTTTTGTCGGTAGTCAGTAATATTTTTAGCCCTTTGTCGCTAGTCGGTTAACCCCATTCACACCCTCTTGTATGGGATGTCAACGGTTTTTTTTAAAAGGAGCCGTGTCACGAAATTCAGCCAAATTAGGTAACTACAAAATGCCCGTTAAATTAAGAGAAACGTAAAAATAACCGCTTAAAATATTAAAGGAAGGTTAAAATAACACAACAGAAACAACAGATGCCACGGATGGGAAAACTGAAGAAGATTGAAACGTATTGAAATTACGGTTTTTGAAAACTGTTCAGCCTGACAGTTTTTCAAAGTTGACCCCTGCTGCTTGCAACTTAAGAAATAATGCTCAGGAGACATATTTGTTTGCCTGTTTTGTCATTTACCTGTAAATTCTTTGCTTAGTTTAAGTTCCATAGCGATTGAGGTCGAGTAATTGGCAAAATTAAACAAAATGAACTGGACTGCCGTGACACAGCCCCTTTAAAAAAGAAGGGAAAATGTTATGTTTTCAAATAAAATCGACTTGCCTTATTGCCTTGTTGTATTCTTTGTTGTTTGCCCGCGTCTCCGGCCGTTTTGAAGCGTTTTCGGCGAGTTAGCGTGTTTTTGGTGTTCCACTGCTAAGATAAAGACAAGGCAGCACAGAGATTTCAGGAGCAACCAGGAGTGTCCGTCGCTCGAGGAGAATAATTCCGCTGGAAAAAATTACCCCCCGGCCTCAATTCCTCCACACATTCAAAGCAGAGATGTTGCAGTTCCATGTCCATTCACTCGATTCGCAATACCTCCCACAGATCGTTCACTAGCGATGCTTTTATCTCTTGCTCGATCGGCTTCCCAATTTCGAATTGGGTTCGTCCAAACTGCCGTCACAAGAGGATCATGAGAGGTACCCTTGTTACCAGGCCCTTACTCCATTACTCAATTCTCGTCCCCCGTCCCCAGAGGCCTCGATTCCAACGAGAGCGCGGCCTCTGGGGATGAAAAGAGGCGATTCCGGAATTGCGCAGGGAACTAGGGCGAGATTTTTTTTTTAACTAATCGATAAACATTTGACCAAGTTTGGTGATCTTAGGGTGAACAGAAACCAAGTTATAGACCTTGAAACATGGTTCAAATCCATGGTTCAAAATCTGTATAATGTTGAAACATCGTCCCCCAAAACCATACAAACTCTTATTTTTTTATCAGTTTTGTGACAACTGTAAAATCCCGTCATTCAGCTACCATTTGAAAGAGGCTGAGACGAAAATCACGCATGTTTGCCCATTTCTCAGAGTATCACAGAAATCATAAAAAAATGTAAGAGTTTATGTGGTTCTGAGGACGCTGTCTCAACATTAGGGCCTTGCATACGGCGGCTGAGCTCGCAGTACGAGTGGCAGTCAAAACTTAGGTGTCCCGACAAAACGATACGATAACAGCATTTTTCTTCGCAGTTAACAAAAATAAAGACAGTGCGTAAGTTGCTTTGGCCTCTACTAGTAGTTAACGTGAGTATTCCGGGTTTAAGTTGATGAGGAACAGCATATTTTGTTCAAAATAACACAACTATTATCCTGCCTGCCGATACTCGACGACGAACAACGAGCGAGTTGCCGTGCCGAGCGCTGGCGACCCATTTTTGGCGCCAAAAGAGAAGCTTAGAAACACAAAATGTCAAAATGGTACATATTTTTACTTATTGTAAACTGTAAAAAATTGCGATAAAACATTTCTTAAAAAGCGACGACGTTTCGACGTTAGCTGAACGTCATTATCAAGTCAAAATATGTTAGTGATTTTTGGTCTATTGATAATGAAGTTCAGCTAACGTCGAAACGTCGTCGCTTTTTTAGCAATTTTTTTTAATCTTGAAATGATTTTAAGAAATGTTTTATCGCAATTTTTTATAGTTAAATGCTTTTCAAAATCACTTCTTGTTCGTATTGTAAACTGGTATGGTTTTTGAAGTACTGTTTAAAAAACGAGCAGCAGTGCTTTATCGGGTTTAAAAGCACGAGGCGTAGCCGAATGCTTTTAGACCCGATAAAGCACGTGCTGCGAGTTTTTTTAACAGCTTCAAAAACAAGCCGGAAATGCGTGTCCATAGGCAATTAAAACAATTGAGTTTTTGTGCAAAGAAGAAATTAGCATATAAGAAAAACAAGTCGACCTAATAAGCAGTATGGTAATTTTTAAAAGCATACCTTTTTCCTTCGCTCCTTATTCTTCGTTGACGCCGGTCGAAGGAGGTTGGCTAAAAATGCCGCCTAAAAGAAAGTTCAGAGAATTTTTACAAACTGCGCACCAAAGAAGAAAAAGCACTGCTGATAAAACCCGTTCCAAAATGAACACGATATCAGGGGCACCCAACGGCAATTTTCGGGAAAATATCTGTTCGGAAGACGATTTGAGATCTAGATCTTTCGGAGCATTTGTTGTAAAATTTCTTGCTTGCCTGCCGCTCCTAGGGATTTTGACCCTAAAAAAGGGCACCTAGAATTTTCGGGAGCCTTTTCCTGGCTGAAATTTTCGA